TTTTTGGTCTTTTTGAGATAGGGTCTCCCTGTAGCCCCAGCTGTCCTGGAACTTACTATGTAGACCAGGCTGGGCTTGAACTCACAGAGATCCACTAGCTTCTGCCTCCCGAGTGCTGGGATTAAAGGCGTGTGCCACCATGTCTGGCTTAACAATATGTTTTAGCTTGTTTACTGCTGCTATTGTGGAATACCACAGACTCGGTAAATTATACAAGTTTATTTATTTACTCCCAGTTATGGTGGCTTGGCACTCCAGGGTTGAGGGGCTGTGGCTAGAGAGTGACATCATAACATGGTGGACGGTATCATGGTAGAAGCTGTATGAGGGGGTAAGAGAGGGAGAGGGAACAGAGGTCAGACTTCAGCATTTTTACCAGAACAGTTCTCCCATGATAACAATATTAATTTAGAGGCACTTAGATGACTCACTTCTAATGTAATGAAAAAGCCACTCTCAATAGCACCACAATGGCACTTAGTTTCAAGGTCAGTTTTGGAGATGTTCACAACATAGCACAATATCAATGCTTCAAAACTTCAAAAATTGTAGAACACTTGGTTAGCTTTATATGTCTCAGTTTGTTCAGAGTTCTTTCACAGCCTGAGAAAAAGATGACAATCACAGGCCCATTTTACTATAAGCAGAATAGTCTGGAATCCAACTCTAATGGCACTCTACTTTTCTTGGGTTTGTAAGGGAACAGAGCTAGAAACTAACCCCACTTATCATTTAAAGAGCTGTTAACACTTTGTTCAAGGAAACACAGATACGAAGAACTATGGAATCCCTAAGAGAACTTTAACCTCTCTGTCAAATTTTCAAGAGTGGTGACAAACCTTCATGTGACACAAAACCTGCTTTTATAGCTGCAGAACCACCATGGTGTCTATTAGCTGGTTCTATTATAGGATTAAAAAATGTTATATCAACTCTTTACCTGAATCTATCTTTGGAAGTATTTTAAAAAAATAATTTATTGAAAATTTCATACATGCACATAAGGTGTTTTGATCAAATCCATGCCCACTCCCTCCCCTCCAACTCCTCCCATATCTCCCCAGCACTTTTTTTCTGATAACTTCATGTACTCTTTCTTCTTCTTTTATTTATTTATTTTTTTATGGGGCTTTTGGCTACTCTAACATTCCTCCCTCAGAAGAGGTAATCTTAAGATCATTTAAGGATTAGATAAAAGCTCCCAAATATTTTTGACATTTTTGGCCTTGGTAATGGAGTATGTTGCTAAGAGGCCCAAGGACATTGTGAGTTTTAGCCAAGAAACTGGCTACTTTTCTTTGGAGTCTTTTTACCCTAACTGCCTAGCTGATTCCTACCTCCTATTCTTATCACACCGTCCTCTGAAGAGGATACCCAAATTGTCAATAGGGAATCAGGATGCAGATGGCTCTGGCTTCTTCCATGCTGAACAGGGATGCAGGGTGATGCAATTGGGGTATCCCTTCAGTGGGTCTATCTAAAAGACTCACAAATTATCTCTAGGGGGAAAAGAAAGTCCTTGAATCATGAATAGGAGATGTGAAGGAGAAGTAAAGGCAAGAGTAATTAGCATTACAAGTTCTAGACAGGGAACTAGAAAAAAGTCAGAACAGGACAATTTTCAAATGTTCATATGAGAGTCCATTGGAATTTCTTGACAAGGGCTTCCAAAAGCATCCCTCTATTGGGTTCCTCCTCATTTTTCTTTTGTCTGCCAAGGCTGGACTCTAGAGTGATGGAGTCAGGATTTGCTTTCATGTATTTTGATAGCACCATGTGGAGGCAGGACCCAGGTACTCTCAGGCAGTCCCCTGTATTCTCAGCCCCTATGCCAGAGGGAGGCCAGAACCCGGCACTCACTGGTGGTCTGGTCTGCTGAGATCCCAGCCGCTACTGGAAGTATTTTTAAAAAAATATTTTATTTATTATTTTTATTTTTTATGTGTGTGAGTGTATTGCCTGCATGTAGGTAAGTGCACACGTGTGTATAGTGCCCATGGGGGTCAGAAGAGGTATTGGATCCCCTGAACTCAGGCAGTCCCCTGTATTCTCAGCCCCTATGCCAGAGGGAGGCCAGAACCCGGCACTCACTGGTGGTCTGGTCTGCTGAGATCCCAGCCGCTACTGGAAGTATTTTTAAACTGGAGTTATGGATGGTCGTTAGCTGCCATGTGGGTGCTGGGAATTGAACCCATTTCTTCTGCAAGAGCAGCCAGTGCTCTTAATCACTGAGCCATCTCTCCAGCCCAGTCTTTGGAAGTAGTGAAGCTTCAAACATATTTAGCTCTGTGCTAAAGCAAGGTATTTACCAGAAGTCCTGGTTGAGATGAACATATTGAGTTGTTTTTCACATTTCTTTGAGTTTCTGGTTCACATTCCAAACTTCTCAATAGAAACTGCCCACATTCTACCCTATTTTGACATGGCTCACATTTATTTTTTTATTATTTTTTATTTAATGAGTGTATTGCCTGCATTTGTGTAAGTGCACCCGTGTCTTGATTGCATGACAATGAAATGCCTGCGGAGGTCAGAAGAGGGTGTTGGATTTCCTGGAACTAGAGTTATGGACGGTTGTTAGCTGCCATGTGGGTGCAAGGAATCAAACCCAGGTCTTCTGCAAGAGCAACCAGTGCTCTTAACTGCTGAGCTATCTCTCTAGTCCTACATTTATTCTTATAATGTGACATAGTTAAAAAATATGATCTTATAATGCTGGTCTGGACAAATGACTCTTTAGTTTTGCTTCCTAGTAGCCATGCTAAGGGAACACATTACTTTATCATGTGAAAAAAGAATTTATTCACAAACATTTCTATTTGAGGCAGTCTATTTTTTTGTGATATTTTGAATTTAAAAACATTTTTATTTCATTTATGTATTTTGTGTGTGTGTGCACATGTGTATGGCACACACATGCCATAGAACATGTGGCAATCAGAGGACAGCTTACATAAGTTGGTTCTTTTCTACTTTATTGGTCCTGGAAATCAAACCCAGGCCATTATGTTTGACACCAGGTGCCGTTACATGCCAAGCCATCTCACTGGCCCAGTATTTATGAATTTATTATACTTTTATTTCACTTTGCCTTTTATTTTTATGTTTAAATTTTTTTATATTTTATTATTTACTGTTATTTTACTTTCATTTTTAATTCTTTAAAAGTTTCATATATATATATATATGCTAAAGTTTGGTCACTTTCATCCTCCATCTTTCATCCTCCATCTCTCCCACTGAAACTTCTTCTGTCCAATAAGCTCTCTCCTACTTTGATATTATTTTTTTCATCCATGGAGTTTAGTTGTACTTGCTTGCATAAGCATGATGAAGAGTGGAAATTATCAGTGGCTATACTACTGAAGGAAATGACACCCCCTTCCCCATTTTCTGCCGATGGTCTCTCAATGAGAGGTGGGGTTTCATGAGCTCCTCTCCAGTGCACAAGGAACTGGTGACTGGCCCAGTCTTGTGCAGGTCTTGTGCATGTAACCACAGTGGCAGTGAGTGCATGAGTGATCAGGCCATTTCCAGAAGACACCGTTTCACAGCACTCCTTCCCAATCTCTAGCTTTTGTGTTCTTTCCGCCCTCTCTTCTGCAATGTTCCCTGAGCCTTGGAAGGGGTAATACAGATGTCCCATTTGGGGCAGAGTTGAGGCAGTCTCTCAGCTTCCAAATATGTATACATCATAATGACTCGTGTGTACATGTGTATGATCTATATTTGTGTTCCTGATACATTTAGATAATGCCATGGTGGGAACAGCTATCTGTGTTTTGTTGGTTCTTGGTGCATATTTCTTTGCTTTCTCAGCTTCTTGGTCCAAAACACTATTTGGATCTTTCTGATAATCTGTTCTGTGCTCTCCACAGCTGTATCGTCTGTGTTGGAGCCTACGCAACAGCAAAGAAGAGCGTATTGACCTGGATGCTGAAGAGGAGGACAACCAGGAGGAGCCCCCCAAGGATACCATTGAAATAGGTGATTTCCCAAACCATAAAACATTCTTCCTATAGCAGTAAGCCTTCATTAAATGCCTTTACCAAAGCCCATGTTTCTTCTCTAGAAGGGAGTGAGGAACAGAGGTGAAGCCTGAGTTGGAAGTTCATTAAAGCCGTTCAGCTGCCTTACCCCTCGTGTTCTGCAGAGCTCAGTGAATCGGTGTGAAGAAATTTTTACCCTGCTTTGATTTGGGGCATAGTGAGGAACAGGAGAAAAGCCAGAGCCTGGCTGACATAGCCTGTGAATTGAGAAAGTGATGGAACCAAAGCTGTGTTCATTTCTATGACACTGGGAGTATGGGACAGAGGTTTTTGGGATCTTATGTTTTTCCATATTAGATTTAGAAAATCACATTTCTCTGGAAGCTTAAAAGGATGCTTAATGGCCATGGGTTTACCCCTTATGATTTTTTTTTCGGTTCTGGGGATTGAGTTGAGAGCTTAGCACAGGCAAGGAAAACACTCTAACCCTGAGCTACCCTACTGTAGCCCAAGGCTAACCCCTTAAGTTGATGCTTTCATTAACTTCAGTGTTGCAGCTCTTTCTCTTTACCTGGAAGAGGTGTACACATGGAGAATGCAGGTGTATGGCATGCAGAAATATGGGCTTTCAACTTAATGCACTTTTTCTGGTACTGGAATGGAGGGCCCAGCATTCTTTCTGAGGAACAGCACCAGATGAAGCAGAAAAAGTCATGAATCTGGCATCAGAAATGTTCTGGAGTCTAGCTCTGGATGCACTCGATGCTTAATTCGTGAAGTGCCTACAGACTGCTTGATAGTATCACTTCACTTTACAGTTCTGATACAAGTATGCACTTGATCCCTAAAGTTCTTTCTAGTTCCGTGATTCCATGACTCTAAAAATGTGTGGAAGCTAGGTATGGTGACACATAATTGCAATCCCAGCATTTGGGAGGCCAGTGAACTATATAATGATACCCTGTCCTTCCAAACCAAACCAAACCAAAATAAAACAAAATAGTCTTGTGACTTGTGAAAACTGGGAAGTTCGAGAAGGTGACCTTTGAACACTGTGCTAAAATAATAGTGGACTTGATCTCATACCTAGCGAGCAATGAAGCTGGGATTTGAAACTATCTGGCTGCCTCCACTGCCACAACTGAACTCAAAGAAGGCAATCTGTTCCCTGGATAGGCTTCCACTTTGAGTGTCAGGGTCAGTTGTACGGTTTATTTAGCAGTGCTAACATGCAGGTCTTCAGTTCAAGAAAGTACTGATAACTGTTGTTCTATGTCAGGATCTATTCAGAGCAAGCCTTACCACCTAATGCTTCTGTTGTGAAGTCTTAGAATTGGCAGATGTAGCCAGTTCTTTTCTGATCCCTCCAGCCTCATTGCTTTCCAGTGATACAGCAGGCAGATGTAGGTTGTGTATTTCAGAAGTGGGTTTACTGTATTTTTTTTTTTTTTTTGGTCTTTTTGAGACAGGGTCTCCCTGTAGCCCCAGCTGTCCTGGAACTCACTATGTAGACCAGGCTGGCCTTGAACTCACAGAGATCCGCCTGCCTCTGCCTCCTGAGTGCTAGGCACTGTATTTTTTATGTGCCAATTGCCAGCCCATTGTTAACATACCTCTCCTCATAACCTGTTATTTTACCTGACTATTTGACATAAAAATGCCTTTTCACTGGTTCTGGAAGAGACAGAACTCAGACCAGATGAATGTGAAGATGTAGAATCCAATGAATAACATTTTCTTATACTTAATTCATTTGAATGTGTACCATTCCCATTCCTAAAAACAAGAAAATTGGGAAGTTTCTACAGAAGGGTTAATGCTTTGTGGTATTCTGTATCCCCTTGGAAGCTGTTTCTAGTCCCCTCACCTTTTATATCCAATATTCCTTTTATGCCTTTCCCCAGACACAGAAGTTCCTCAGCAGAAGAAAGGATGCTTCAGGAGGGCATATGACCTATTTTGTGGGCTGGACCAGGATAAGGGACCCAAACTGACTAAGGAAGAGGAGGAGGCCCTGAAGCAGAAGCTGACAGACACCTCTGAGAAGCCTTTGTGGAGGATAGTGGTGAACATCAACGGCATTATCCTGCTGGCGGTGGCTGTCTTTTGCTATGCATATTTTGCCTGAATCCTGCCTTCTGCTATAGACTTGGCAAAGCTGGAATCTTCCATTCCCTTTAAACTTACTCTGTGGTGGAAAAGGGAAACCGGCCAGTTGTAAACTTTACCCATTGGGATAAAATATGTATGATTATAGGCTAGCTGAAGAAAATAATTATTTTGCTGTTAACTTATGTATTTGAAGCCAGTTGTGATACAGTTATCTGTGTATGTTAGAGCTGCAGAAGAAAAGTTGTCAGTTAGATTAAAAAAAAGCCAGGCTAAAAAACAGAAGCCTGGTGTTGTCTGGTATCAGCATGTTTCAGGGACATTCAGCATGTCAATGTTGTTTATAATCCTTAAACTAATGTTTTAAAATTGTAGTCTGAAGTGGAGTGTGATGGCGCACACCTTTAGTTCCCGCACTCTGGAAGCGGAGGCAGGCAGATCTCTGTGAGATCTAAGCCAGCCTGGTCTCCACAGTTCCAGGCTAGCTGGGGCTACAGGGATACCCTGTATCAAAACAATCAAACAAACACAAAAAACCCCCGAATGTAGTCTGGTTCCTGCCATTTTCTTACTCACCTCCCCTTCCTTATCATTTTTTTTTTTTTTTAAAGAGAAACCCTTTCCCCCATCATCACATTCATCTCAAGTTTTTCCTAGTGGAAAGAAAAGCAATCTGATAAACTGATGAATGCACAGAAGTGGAGGATGGGGACTCTGTCCTGGGCATTTGTTCTTTAAAGTGGAAGCTTCAAGAAGGCTGTACTTTCCCAAAAGGAAGGGACTCAGGACCACTTGGAGGAGCAGATAATCTTGAGTCCAGAGAATTTTTCTGGTTTTTTTTTAAAAAAAAATGTCCATTATATGTCCCCTGCATTTGTAATTTTACTCATTTTGGCATTCACTATGCCTGGAATCTCAGCCACTCAAAGATACTTATCGACTAAATGAATTCTATGGCATTATCAACAGATAGTTACTTAGCTTTATTTTATTTTATTTTTTGTGGCTGCACAAAGTATACCTCTGGTGCCTTTAATAAACTGGAATGCATTTCCTAGAGGCTGCTCTGCCTCATGGTGCTGATGTTGACATATGATAAGGACTTAGAAGTTGACACCACGTGACATGACAGAGCAAATGTACCTGTAGGGACATCTGTCATCTCAATATAGTGCACTCACCCAGGAAACACTGAGATAGTTAGCTTGAGATGCTCCTCCCCAGGTATTTACATGGCCATAACTGTTCCTTTTCCAGGCATCTTTATTGGTGATCATCCACTGGCAAAGGTTAAAGTAGATGATCTCAGTTCTAAGTGCTCAACAGTTTTAGCTGAAAGAAGGATAGTTCATGTTGAGATAATTTTCTAAAGGAAAATTATTTTCATTTAATTTAAAATTAATTGAAAATTATTTTTAAGCCTCATATTGCAATGTGATCCTACTGAAGTTAGGAAATCAACATGTTAATGTGGAATGATTTCAAATTAGCTTAGAAAATAGCTGAGGCTCAAAGTATACATGGATGACTTGTTATTGCAGAAGAAAAATCTGGAGAGGATCATTTGCATTTTCTCATTTTCCTTAAGCTAGGCTGAGAAGAGGGAAAGGTAGGGAATTTCACATGGCTAACAGTACACAGAACACTCAGTCTTGGGTGGAGTTTGTGGTGTGTTTTGAGTCTTGAAAGGAGAAAAGGAAAGGATTGAAAGTGTGGGGATGAAATAACAGTGTAAAATACCTAGATTGTCTTGGATTTAATTCCTGGGTCTGCCAATGATTTACTGTATATATTGTAATAAATTATTTTGTCTCAACTGTGTATTTTCCCCTTTGGAAAATGGGGACCTTGGTACTTTATAGGATCTATTTACTTCCTGTGGTATGGAGAAGACATTTTGAAAAGGGGATGGGAGACAGACATGAAATGCACCATACAAATTTTACATTAAGCTGCATTATAGTCCATCAGTAAAAATGTATGATGTTGATAAAAATAAAAACATGAGCCGGGTGTGGTGGCACATGCCTGTAGTCCCAGCACTTGGGAGGCAGAGGCAGGCAGATCTCTGTGAGTTCAAGGCCAGCCTGGTCTACATAGTGAGTTCCAGGCCAGTTGGGGCTACAGGGAGACCCTGTCCCCCCCCCAAAAAAACCCCAAAACAAAAAACAAACCCCCCAAACCCACCATCACCACCAAAACCCACTAAAATTCTAACATCTTGAAATTATGGGTAAATACTGAACCTAATTGTGATTAGCATTCAGATGAATGAGGAAGCCAGGAGGTCAAGAAAGTTGAATAGACTATAGCAGTTTTGACAATTGAAAAAAGTATAGCCAACCAGGTATGGTGGCGCACGCCTTCAATCCCAGAACTCCGAAGGCAGAGGCAGGTGGATCTCTGAGTGTTCGAGGCCAGCCTAGTCCTCCACTGCTCATTCCTTTCTTTTTCATTATTCAGTACCCTTCTCTTTCTTTTACCTCTCCCAGAGAACATAGGCTGCCCTGGTTTACAGGTTCTAGTTTTATTTCTGTTGCTGTGACAAATACCCTGATAAAAAAACATGAGGGAAAAAGGATTTATTTGGCTCACAAGTCCAGGTTACAGTCCATCTCTTCAGGGATGTCAAGGCAGGAACTTAAGCAGCTGCTCACATCACACAGGAGTCAAGAGCAGAGAGCAGCCAATGCTCCCATGCTGCCTGCCTGCTGGCTCTTGGCTAGTTCTCTTTACTCTTATATAGTTCAGAGCCCAGCCCATGAATGGTGTGGGTCCCCATTCAGGGTGGGTCTTCCCACCTCAGTTAACAATCAGGACCATCTCCCACAGTCATGCCTACAAGCCAACCAGATCAAGAAAATTCCTCAACTGAGGTTTTCTTCCAGGTGATTCTAGGTTCAACTAGCACTCAGGGTCTCTCACTCAGTCTCCGGGGAGATTAGACTGTTCTACATTATCTGAGTACCTCTTTTTAAATATTTATTATTTTTATTTTATATGTATGTGTTATTGCCTGTGTGTAGGTAAGTGCACTGTGTCGTGCAATGCCTGCAGAGGACAGAAGAGGCTGTCGGATCCCCTAGAACTGGAGTTACAGACAGTTGTTAGCTGCCATGTGGGTGCTGGGATTTGAACCTGGGTCTTCTGCAAGAACAATCAGTGTTCTTAACTGCTGAGCCATCTCTCCAGCCCTGAGTGCCTCTTTTAACTCCTCTCCTTTCAGTCTACCTTCAACCAAAACTCCCACATCTACCTCTTCCCCAGATTTTCTTTTTCCCCCTCAACCATTCCCCATTGTATGTATGTCCCCCATTTTACTTCCCATTTAGTAACCCAATATTAATCACTAATCCCAGTGTGATTTTTCCTTCTTTGCTTTTTTTCTTTTTTTGGTCTTTTTGAGACAGGGTCTCCCTGTAGCTCCAGCTGTCCTGGAGCTCACTATGTAGACCAGGCTGGCCTTGAACTCACAGAGATCCGCCTGCTTCTGCCTCCTGAGTGCTGGGATTAAAGGCGTGCACCACCACACCCGGCCTCCTTCTTTGCTTTTATATTCAGAATAACTAATATATTAACACACACAGTACTATTGCTGTTTTTTCATGGTTGGTTTACTGCTGGATAGTGACTATTGTTACAGACAATAATCAGCTCTCAGGAGAGGTTAGAAATAGGGTCCATGCTCTAAACATGAGTCTGAAAGAAGAAAACATCATCTCAACCTTACTACATCCTACTCTGTTCTGAATACTGTGAACATTTCCACTGAAAGAAGAAAGGTGAATTGAATTAACAACACCACTTAACTAATAATCCATGTCCAGATGGGCAGATCCCAGTGCAAAAACACAAGTAACATGAAAAACTGAGACAATATATCTCCTCTTGAAACTACCAGTCCTAAGGCATGGTGGTATATGCCTTTAATCCCAGAACTTGGGAGGGAGAGGCAGTTGGAGATATGTGAGTTCAAGGCCAGCTTGGTCAACACAGTGAATTAAAGGCCAGCTGGAGCTACAGGGAGTCCCTGTCTCAAAAAGACCAAAAAACCCACCCAGGGCTCAGGGACCATTGTGGAAGAGGGGGTGGAAAGATTGTAAGAGCCAGGGAGGAGGGGCATGACCATATGGAAATAGTCCTGCAGGCACCTGGGACCCTTCTCATGCAAACCAACAGCAATGGTGTCAGCATGCACAACACCTATGGAAACTTAGGCAGACAAAAACGCAGCACAGAACTGTGGAAATGAACAGTAAGTCCCAATCTTAGTTGGAGAATTATTGGCAGCTGACTACTGCTGGGTGAGGAAGAGCTGCTCTTCTGGAAGGGAGAGACTCTAGATAGGCTGAGTAAACCCTGGTGGATGAACTTGTACTGAGGGTCATCTCAGGACACTAACTTTACATAGTAGGCCTTAATAAAAATGATAAACTATATGAACTCCAATGGGGTGTCTCTGGGAGGGTACCAAAGGGGAGGAGGGAAGGGGGTACAAAGATGATTTTATGTATGGAAAACACAAAAATTCAATGAAAAATTAAAGAAACAACAAACTCCCCAAACCCAAAAAACTACCAGTCCTATAGTTAATCCCCAATGACAGCAACTTAAATGAAATTCTAGAGAATTGCCATGAATATTGTTCTGGTTTGTTTCTTCATTGCTGTGACAAAATACTCTGACCAATACCAACTTGGGGAGGAAAGAGTTTTTTTTATCTTACATCTCCCGGGTCACAGTTCATCAGGGAGCCCAAGGTAGGAACTCAGGGCAGGAATCGGGAGGCAGGAGATGGGGTACAGGCCATGAAGGAATGCTGCTTACTGGCTGCTTACTGGCC